TTAATTTGACATAGAACTCTTGGTTGCCAGACTATCTTTCAGCATTCTGAATATGTCATACCACTGCCTTCTTGTCTTGATGATTTTGATGAAAAAATTGCCATTAATCTTATTGAGGATCTTTAGGGAATGACAAGTGTCTTCTCTTTTTGCTCTCAAGAGTCCGTTTGTCTATAGCTTTCAGTAGTTTATGATGTCTCTGGGGAGTTCATTGAGCTTCGTAGATGTGTAGATTAATGTTTTTCATCAAATTTGGGAAATTTTCAGTCATTCTTTTTTATAACTGAGGCAACACTTTGTATATGACATTATATCAGTTACAGGTATTCAATAAATGATTTGATATTTGTATATTTCACAAAATGATCAGCACAATGTCTAGTTGACATCCATCACCACATATAGTTAATTTCTGTGAATTCTATAAGGTAATAGTCCAGTTTCATTCTTTTGCACAAATGCCCAGTTCTCCCAACACCATTTACTGAAGAGACTGTCTTTTCCACATTACATATTCTTGGCTCCTTTGTCATGAATATATGCATGGGTTTGTTTTTGTGCTATTTTTGTTCCATTGGTCTATGTGTCTGTTTTTATGCCAATACCTTACTATTTTGGTTATTATAGTTTTTAATATAGTTTTAAATCAGGGAGTATTAACGCCTCTAGTTTTGTTCTTTCTCAAGATTGCTTTGGTTATTTGGAGTCTTTTGTGTTCCATACAAATTTTAGGATTGTCTATTCTGTTTCTGTGAGAAATGCCATTGGTATTTTGACAGAGATTGCACTGAATCTGTGGACTGCTGTGGGTTAACAATAACAATCCATGAGTATGGAAGACCTTCCCATTTATTTGTGTCCTGTTCGATTTCCTGTGTCGATGTCTTACAGATATTATCTCTTAAAATCTTCTTTCTGCCCCTTTTTCTCTCTCTACCCCTTGTGAGACTCCCATTATGCATATGCTGGTATTCTGGTTGGTGTCCATAGGTTTCTGAGTCTCTGTTCATTTTCTTCATTTTTTCTTCTTTACGCTCTCTTGAGTGGAAGATCTCAATAAGCCTATGTTCCAGGTAACTGATTCTTCTGTCTACTGAAATCTACTGTTGAGCCTCTCTAACAGATTTCCATTTCATTTATTATATCTTTCAATTATAGAATATCTATTTGGTTCTTTTCTGTAATCTCCATCTCTTTATTGATATTCTTTATTTATAGGACCTTTTTCATACTTTCACTTAGTTCTGTATTCATGGTTTCCTTTAGTTTTTTTAACATACCTAAAACAGCTAATTAAGGTCTTTGTTTACCAAATACAACATCTGGGCTTTTTCTAGGGCAGTTTATATTGATTGACTGTCTTTTTACTTGTATATGAGCTATACTTTCATGTTTCCTTGCATGCCTTAAAAATTTTTAATTTTAAATATTTTATATATACATATTTATGTTTATGGTCAGCTAATGGCTGGAGAGAGATTTCCTTAAATTGCAAAACTGGTCTCCCAGTTTTTGCCATATGTCTCTATATGTTGGAGCACCCCTTCAATGCTCAGTCAGGCAGCTGACAGCCATGCCTTAGCCTTAACTTCCTGATTTCAGAGAGTGAAAGCCAGCCAGAGGAGAGAGCTTAGGGCCTTCTCAGGTATTTCCTGAACATGTGCTCATCCCAGTCTATGCACATGGACTTCTAGATTCTCAGGAATATGTTCAAGCTTTCCATAGTCTCTATGGACAACTCTTTTCCTAGCTTATTCTTGTAAACTTTTTGTTAGCCTATTGTTTACCCTGTTTTCCCCTGCTTCAGGCAACCATAAAGTTAAACAATTCCCTGTCAATACTTTTGAAAAATGCTCCTAGGGAAAAGACTTTTTGCATTGGATAAGATATGAGTCAGGTAAAATAAAGAAAACCTTGCAAGTGGTGTCTTCCAGGGAACCACCAGGTAGGTCAGATAATGACAATTCACTGGGAAGAGGCTTTGAAGCAACTCCAACTCCATTCTGCTCCCTCCTGTGCTTCCAGCTTCTTGATTTTACTGTGATTACAGGCTTTTGGTTTTTATGGCTACCAAAGAGCTGGAAAGAGACATGGGAATAGAACAAATTAAAGCTCCACAGAGCTCACTGCCCTTAGTAAAATTAAGCTATTTTTTTAAAATAAATTCTCCCCAGATTGTTGCAAGCATTTTCTTATGACCCTGAAAAACCTCATTCTGACATTTTTTTTTAGTTTTCTTTTTGTTTTTATAAAAGAAATTTCTGGGAAGGCATTTTTCCACCATTTTTGCTGTCTCCTTAATCTCTTAAGTACATACCTTTTTAATATTGTGTGTGATGAAATGAAAGAACATATAAAGCACTTCTGCTCCTTACTGAGGTACAATGGTGGCCTCAAATAAAAGCACATATGCAGTTTTTGAGCTGCAAACTGAACTACCTGCTCTTTTCGTGTAACACCATTTTTACTTGACAGGCTAACAATGTTACTCAGACATTGTTGAAATGACAAATGAGCCTGTCATTTCAAGGAAAACTACTGACAAACTTTGATGCCAGTCGTAAATTTCAAACTTTCAAACAAAAGTTAGAGAAAACTTGTATCTACAACTTGAGTTTGAGAGCTTTACGATTTTCTAATGAGGCTGGTGATGATGTTAGCAAATGTAATTTTTTTATATTACATAATGTAATATTTTATTTTTTATTTTGGTTTTATGTTTTAAAAAATAAAATATTATAAAATAGAAACTTTAATACATTTTATATTATATTACATATTATATTTTAAATAAAAAATATAGCATTTTTGTGTTACATGATGTAATGCCGTATTTGAAATATCTGCTAATTCCATGAACCAGTATTTTCTGAATGATGAATGCATTATGTTAACAAAATCATGCATAAGTAAAAGATTCTTTGGCATAGATATTGATAAAAGAACAATAGAATTTAATATAAATGAGCATAAAAAGTTCATAGACATGTTTTCAGATTTCATACTGAACCCTTAAAAATTACCATTTGTCAAGAATTGGTATTGTATCAATGAAGAATAACCACAATTACCTAAAAAGGTTACTAAAAAATACCTTATTTCCAACTGCATATCTCTATAAGGCCAGACTTTCTTCATATATTTCCACTAAAATAACACATTAGATTGAATACAGAAGCAAATATGAGAAACTAGCTATTTTCTATTAACCCAGCCACTAAAGATAAGTACAAAAGTATAAAACAATGCCAATCTTCTCACAATTTTTTTTTGTTCTGGAAAATAAAATTATTTTTCATAAAAAATATTTATATTAACACATAATGGGTTTATAGTCATTTTAAAGCAATTAAATAGTTTAAAATTTTGTGCTTTCTTTTCTACTACAGTATATACCAAAAGTTATGTTACATAAATAAAAATTTTTTAAACCTCAATAATAATTAAAACTGAAAAAGGTTCCTGAATCTGGTGAATGTGAGAACTCCTTTGCTAGTTTTCTAGGATCAAAGTCTAATCACAAACCAACTGGAAAATATAAAGTTGACTATTGTGTAGTAGTTAATTCAGTTGCCCATGTTCACTGCCAGTTTTTTGTGTGACCCATGTTTATAATTTGCCCATTCATGAAAGCTTGATGGTCAGAATTATTTAATCTACACAGAATTTTTTAGGCCGGCCCTTTCTGCTTCTTGAATAGATCATGCTTCTCTATCTCATGGCCTTTGTGCAAGGTCATTTCCTCTGCCTGGAAAGTTCTCCCACCCCGTCTCCTAAAAATTCTTATTTATTCTTCAAATCTCAGCTCAAATGTCACTATCTCAAGGACACCTGAAGTGTGCCTTCCAAACCTCTTATATCCTCCAGGTTCCATTAAGTCTCCCTAATTTCTCCCATAGGTCCAAGCACTTTTCTTTCATAGCACATATCACAATTTGTAATTATGTAATTTTGAGATGAATTGATTAATGCCTTTCTTCCCCTTCTAAACTTCAGCTCCACCAGGGCAAATATCTTTTCTGCTTACCATTTTATCCTCAATATATATTACAGTGTTTAGCAGTATATATATATATGTGTGTGTGTGTGTGTATGTGTGTGTACTATGCAGAATGGGTCCAATTATTTTCCAATATGAAAACCACATGTTGAGACAGTGAAAAGTGCATTTTATTGGTTGTCCCATCATTTTAGGTAGTTTTTTAAATTATCAACCATGAGTTATGAGAGAACTGTTGAAAACAGTTTCTATTGTATGTACCACCAAGTAAAAAGATATCTTAGCAGTATAATTATCACGAAAGAAATTAGACTTCTTGATTTGCTTACACAGATGCCGTTTCATAGATTTTCTCCCAACTCATGTTTCTTAGTTTCCAAGCTTTTTAAAAAATAAATACAAAAAGACTTATTAATGGTTATGCTGAAACTTCCTCTAAAAATATCTTTTATTAAATACAGGAGGAGATTGGATTCATGCTGTATTATTTCTTTTGGGACTAAGGGTACATTTTTCAACTTCAAAAATTGTTTTTAAGACCGCAGAAGTATCAGATTAAACTACTGTGGTAACTACCTCAGGACAGTAGTATTTTATTCCATTTTCATTCCAGGAATGTAGCTGTTGAAAATTACTACAGTTATTTATTTTTCACTCTACAATTTATTAGCTGAGAGGATCATATTTCATTTTTCACCCATTTGAGTAACTTCTGTGTGTGTCCATACAGCAGAGACAAATAGTTTTTCATTTGAAAACTCTAGACTTCGGTCCTGTTTTAATTAAGAGATTTTTGAGATTCAGATGAAGGCAGCATATTGTCCTTTCAAGACAGCCAGGCAATATTTGCAAGATCTGTCTAATCATAAGAGTTACAAACCCCGTTCAGATAATAAGTTTCATATACTTTAACAGCCGTGCTTTCAGAATTTATAGCTTTGACTTTAGAGCACTCAGTGTTGATCATATTGCTGATGTCAAATGGTTTTGTTTTACATAGAAACAAATGGATATCAATGCTGCTATTCAAGCCTTGATTGAATCACATACAGCTCTACAGATGGAGGTAATATATCTGACTTTATTTACATTGGCACTCTCAATATACAAATTAAGCAGAAATCTTTTTCAGAGGGCAAAATGTGGCTTTATCTCAAAGATTATATTTAAAACAGATTGAAAATAATGAAACCATTGTTTAAGGACAAAGTAAGCAATTGTAAGAAACAGAAATATATGCATAGGATATCTTTTAAAGAAAACATTTAAAACAAAAATATAATATTGTTTAGGGATTTTTAAAATAAGGAGTTAGGTACTATTAAAAAATAGTTAAATGAAATTAACTATTTCTTAAAATGGGATCTATCATCCCTACTCATTTTTCCTATTTAAACTCTTAATTATTCAATATATAATTTTTAAAAAACATTATACAGTAGAATAGTAACAGTTAAGTTTTATGTAAGCTTGAAAACTAGACTTTTAAGTGTGAATTTAATTGCTTATTTGGAATCAAGATTAATAAAACATATTCATATGCCTATATTTAAATACAAACTGTCTTTACATCCTACTCCCACTCATTGCACAGGAATACATTTTTCTTCTGCCATGATCCATATTCATCATTAGGGTTGCATACTAGTGATGACTACTTAATGCTTTTTTGTTAATATGATTTCTATGATGACTTGGCAGAGCTATCAGAATACTGAAGTTACTTTAATTGACTACAGTGCAGAGATATTCAAAACCTTGAACTACCTAAGCAATTTACTGCACAGCATTAAGAATCCTCTTGGCACACGGGATAACCCAGCACGAATCTGCAAAGATTTGCTTACCTGTGAACACAAAGTATCAGATGGTAAGTTCTTTATTTCATCAAACTCTGATGTCTGATTTCATTTCATCATTTCAGTGTGTTGGAGATGCAGTATTTTCATTCCAATTCTTAATCATTTTGATAAAATATGGCAGAAGTCATTGTAATATCATCAAGAACCAAATACTCTTAGAAGGTGACAGCTTTTGATGTCAAGGGTTCATATTACAAAGGTATATATCCTTCTATATAGCCTTATTAATCCTCAACTTACCCATCCCTCCCAACTATGTCCCTTGTTTATTGCACTTTGTGCTTGGAGCATGTCACATTCATGTTAAAAATTAACCCTTTCTAGGGTTAGCCTTTGGGTTGGCAGACAGTAGCATCTGTAGGAACCACCAAAGTTGGCAGCATAAGAAAAGATAGAGAAGAGCCCCCTCCACCGCATCTTCTATAATTTTTATGCAAGACAAAACTTAAATGCCTCATTTCAGAATCAGTGACCATGAAGGTGGAGTTATCTGTTGTTCTTGGAAGTTTCTCATCCTTATATTGATACTCTAAAATCCACTCACCAGAGATGCAAAAATGAATTTAGAAGAGAGCCATCAAGGAAGAGTTTAAAGCAAGTGCAGCAGTTACCATTATGTGATGATAAGTAGGAGAAACTTTGTCTGCTACAATATGTCATTTGATTTTAATTTATATTGTGTCTATGGTCAATGGTTCAATGAATATTGGTAGTTAACACCTTTTACTAAAAACTCCATTCCCAAAAAAATGACACATATGCCATTTTGAAAAACACTATGTTATGTTATTCTGCAGGGTGAATAGTAGTCCACATTTTATTTATTTTAATTTTATATACACATACACACATGCACACACATGAAGGTTTATAGATAAATAGAAGGTTTATAGATAGATAAATCAAATACATATATATATATATATATTCTTATTCAAAAACATCTGCTTCCATTCCAGGAATGCAATGAAAATATTCATTTTATTTATACTAATAAAATGCTTAACTTGTAGAGATATCCTGCACTAGATTACCACAAAAACTAAAATAATATTTTCAATTAAAGCTGCCTATAATAATTCTAAGTTCAATTCTTTCCCATATTTAAAGGCATAAAAATGCAATTCTATGCAATTGAAAGGAACAAAGACATTCAAATACATACAAATCATTGAAATCTAATTCAAGGTCTGCCTTCCTTGTAGAAAAAATGGCTAAGCGGTATGGATTGCAAGGTATCAGAAATGTCTTTAATCCCCCAAAATACTTTCATCACTAGAAGACAGTAAATGGTATAGAGAAACACAAAACAGCAGGGGAAGGAGATCTGATAGAAAGTGGAAATAAAGGGTGAAGTTTTAAATAGAGTAGTTAGAAAAAGAATCTCTTAGAAAGCGACATTTGAGCAATGTTAGAAGGAGGTACGGGAAAAAGCTACAGGAAATCTAGAAAAAGAGCTTTATGGGCAGAAAGAAGAAATTCAAAGGCCCTGGGTCTGAGAGTATACTTTGCATGTTCTAGAGTTAACAAGAAGGCCACTTGACTGGAAGGGAATGCATAATAGGAAAGGCAGGATATGAAGTCAGAAAGATATTTAGAAACTAGATTAGACAGGGTCTTATAAACTACTCAAAAGACTCCAGCTTTTACTGTGATGATTAGAAGTCACTGGAAATTTTAGGGCAGAGGAATGACACAATTTGACTTAGATTTTAAAAATTTTACCCTAGCTTATGTATTGCAAATATAAAAAAGACAAAGGTAGAAACAGCCTCTGAGAAAATTTGAAATAATCCAATAGACATGATGATGGGTTAGACCAGAGTTGGTAGCAGGGGAAGTGATGAGAAATGGTCAAATTTTTTAATATACTTTAAGACTGAGCCAGCAGTTTTTGTTGATAATTTGGATGTGGATTATGAGAGAAATAGAATGACAAAGGATGACTCTAAGATTTTTAACTAACATACTGGAAGGGTGGGATTGCTGTTAATAGCGATAGAGAAGCAAGTTTGGAGAAACAGATCAGAAGTTCAGTTTTAGATGTATTAGTTGAAATGTCTGTTAGACATTTAAGTAAGAATGTCAGGTAGTTTGTTGGCTATTCAAGAGAAAGTTCAAGAGAGAGGTCCTTGCTAGGGGTAAAAATTATGAAGTTATTTGCATAAATATTATCTATTGCCCTAAGACTACTTAAGACTACCTAAAGAGTAGGTAAAAAATAAAAATAAAGAAAAGAGGGTAAAAAAAAACTGTGCTTTAGGGCTCTCCAGTGTTTACAGATCAGAGAGATGGGGGGCAGAAGGAGAACTAGCAAAAAAACGTAAGAAGCTATCTCTGAGACACATGGAAAAGTAGACGAATGTGGAATGAAGAAAATGTTTGCCTAAAGAGGAATGGATCAACTGGTTCAATGTCTAGTGAGAGGAAGACTGAGAAAGACTACTGGATTTAGCAATATGAAGATCTCTGATGATCTCCACAGAGAAGTTCAGAGGAATGGTAATGGTTAAGACCTTATCAGATTTTAAGAGAAAATTATAGAACCAGAGAGTTTCCATTCCCAGTAATGAAGTAAGTAATTCAAGATGCCTGGCTAAAATTTTTTTTTTAAAAAGTGTCAAATAGCTAACAAAGTAGTGAGGAACTTTTAAGCCAAAATGTTGAAGAAGAAAGAGAGATAATCACAACACTTAAAGTTACTTTTGCCCTTGGTATGACCAGAAACTGAATAGTGCTTTTGGTGGCTTTATTGGGTAAGGGCTCAAAAGTTAGAATCTGTGGCCCACCAAAGGTGAGGCCTTAGGCTGCTGAAGAGCTCTACTCCAAGAGTAAAGATAAACTGGAAGAAAAGAGACATTCATATAAACTGTAGTCTAGCTTCACATCATTGAGATGGCTCAGAAAATCTCAAGTTTTGAACTTGGACTAAGATGGTTCCTGACTGCTAGTATAATGACAGAAACAAAACTCATCTATAAAATATACTGTCATCATGAGGCTCAAATTATTTCCATAAACAATGTCTCAAATACAGTTCCAGCATGATCAACAATAACCACACATACAAGTTGACAAAACACCATGAATGAGAACTGGCAGAAGGAGCAGACAACAGAAAATATAACAGGAGGAATTTTAAACGGAATGTATAATAGGCAAGAAAAGCATTATATAGGAATAGGAACACAGTTTATTCACAATAATAAGAGAAGGCAGAATATGTGTGTGCAAATACAGATAGGTGATAGGGCTTATAGAAGTAAATACAGATATAGTAGTGGGAGCTTATATAAGTTTCCTTCAGATTTCTTCAGTTGTCTTATTGAAATTGAAAGTTTACCTGTCAAGAATAAGGATGAAGGAATAGGTATAATGAATTTCAGGGGAGAGAAAAATATTTCAAGTAATTAACTAGGAAAATGACAGAGGAATGGACTAGAGAAACATAGTATTACTAAATGGCAACCTTACAAACATTTAAATTTAAAGTGAGGTCAGTCAGCATAATTGTATGTTTCTTGCTACATTTAACTGTGCAGGTATGGCTACAGATTAGGCGTAAAATTAGACTATGTAAGGTTCGGCTTTTATAAGACAAGTAGAGTGAAGTGAGGCAGGGAGGGAATGTTCAGTAAGTCTCTAAGGAAATTAATTGCAGTAGAGGATTGTAGGTTTTCAGCTGGGTAGGATGGGAAATGAACATACAATTATCCATAGATGGTAGATCTTGAGGGGATAGAAGAACTATGGGAATCAGGACACTAGAGGAAATGGGCTGAATAGAAAAGAGAGGTTTAATTATGGAGGAATTATAGTCTTAGGTAACAAAGGCTAGGGTATGGCCTTGGAAGTTAATGGTGAAAGTAAATGGGGCAGGGGATGAGGGAGAACACAGAAAGGGTACGAGAACATTGGTGGAAAAGAGTTAACAAACTGAGAGGCCAAGGTATTGGAAGTATCATTATTGTAGATTTAAAATCATGAAGAATTAAGTCATAAATAGATTTTCTGAAAGTGATAGCCAGCCAAAGCTAAGTCTTCAAAGAATTACCATGGAGCGATTTTTGGGAAAAAGTAGGATGGTCTGGAGGTGGCAATGAGAAGTAGAAAGACACCTTCCCTGCTCCAGCTGCTTTGCTGTAAGAGGCTGTGGCAGAACTTGAAAGAGCTGCAAGGGAAGCAGTGTCCTCAGGGAAAAGCCAGTTTTGAGTTAGAATATTAAGAGGGTACAAAAGATATCTTAATGGTATAATGCTTTATTTATAGTTCAGCATACCTTGAAAAAATTATGAAGCCCCTACCAGTTCACCATTGTACAACACAATACCTAAATTCAAAGCATTCCACCCCGGATAAAATGGCAGTTTGCTTGGTGGAAACCTTTTTTTTAAAATAATTTATTAACTCACATAGTAGTAGGAAACTATTTCCTGGAGAAGAGATGGTGAGTACAAATATGTGTTTACCCTATTAGGTAAGACAGAAAGCCTATGTCAGTCCTGGTGAAAAATCCAGCTCTAGTTCCTATAAATTTTACAAAATGTTCAAAATCCTGATGAAATGAAGGGAGAAGGGATCTGGGGAGTAGAATCTCTTTTATATTTCTTTCTTCCATATTTCAATAGGTCAGTGGTTCTCCAAATGTGGTTCCTGGACTAGAATTAGATTTTAAAATGCAGCTTCTCAAGCCCTGCTCCAGACTTAATGAATCAACAACTCTGGGGGTGGGACCCAGATATCTGTGTTTTAACAGATGGTTCTCATGCCTCCAGTGTTTGAAAACCACTGCAACTTGGAGCTACCAATTCAGCAAGTGTTCATTTTGAAAGATTAGTACAATAGTAAAGGGGAGAATAGTTGAGGATGTTTTAAAAGCCAAAATAATGGACTGGAGGAAGCCCAGGATGAGCTAGAGAAATCTTTGCTGTAGGGTAAGGGTGGAATGAACAAGAATTTCTACCTACTGTAAAAAATGACATTTGAGAAAACTGTTTAATTGTCTTGCCACTTTAATGCAAGAAAGCAGGGATACCTCATTGAAAAATACCTTCCTTTTGCTAAATAAGGTGCTATTTCAATGTTCTGAGCCTGAAAGTTAATGGTTAAAGTAAAGAGGGTGGGGAGTGCAGAAACAATCTTAATTCTTCCTAGAATTAAGATACAAGCTCAATACTTCTTCAGCCTGAGTATTTCAGCTTGGATAGGCTAACTTTAATTCTCCTGGCACTTGATTCTCCTCGGCTGTCAGTGGAATGGTTTCCCCACCTACAAATCTACTGAAGAATGCACAAATATGACAACCATTTAATTGTATATTTTCTTTCTGAAAACAAAAAATGTTTTATTTTTGATTATCATAAAGATGCATTTTATCTCAAGAAGTTGTTTCTATTTTTTTAATACTCATTTTTATCTAGAATGACATAGAACAGAAATATACACATACACCACATTAACTGCAGCTTTCATATTAACTATGTAACTTTGGACAATTCACTTTAAGCTGCTGAGCTCATCTCATCTGTAGAATGTGGCAATAAATGCAGCCATTCTATCCTTCTTTATTAAAATGATGAAATGCCCTCAAATTGATAGGTGTGTGAATTCTACAATATTTTCAGTATCAATTTTACAGAATGCTTGCATTCACTCCTTAAATGTAAATATCTTTCTATCTTCTAAGTTTTTTTATGGGTAAGATTGAAAATACATATTTAAAGTATCATGATAATTTGTAAGGATGGTTCAAATATATTTTAGCATGGCATTTAAGTATCTTTATGTTTTACAATAAATCAACAGGGAAGTACTGGATTGATCCCAATCTTGGATGCCCTTCAGATGCCATTGAGGTGTTCTGTAATTTCAGTGCTGGTGGTCAGACATGTTTATCTCCAGTTTCTGTGACAAAGGTATGCATTGAATTTTAGAATACTATTTCTAAAATATAAATACCTTACTATTTGCCCAGTATCAGTGAACAATTATTTTTAAAATCCTATCAGTTTAAATAATTACGAATTTTATGAACAGAAGCAAAGGTATCATTCTCTACCATATACAAGAAAGAAATTTTTTGTTTTTAAAAAATTGTCCTAGTAACTCTTGACATTTTTGTTTGTGTATTTTTATGATTGGCTTATGATGGCTTACTCTATTGATTATGCTTTTTAAATTCCTTTTAAAAATGTGAAACATATGTTTTCTATGCACACACATACTTTAGAAAATCCCCAAATAGCTGCAGTGTTTGTAATAGTAGCCAGTTACCTAAAGTTTTACTGAAAATGACATCATCACTAAAAGCCAGTGATAAGCCTTTACCTGCACACCACTGACTGACTAGCACTTAAATACCAAGAAAAGTATCTTTCTCAAGGATACCTTTCAAGGACTTGTAGGTTTCTGAATTGCTGCATCTTATAACCTGCATACTGTTTCTATGACATTAGTTGGAGTTTGGAGTTGGGAAAGTCCAGATGAACTTCCTTCATTTACTGAGCTCAGAAGCGACCCATATCATCACTATTCACTGTCTAAACACTCCAGTGTGGACAAGCACTCAGACAGGTGGCTCAGGATTGCCTATTGGTTTCAAGGGATGGAATGGACAGATTTTTGAAGAAAACACTCTACTTGAACCTGAAGTGCTTTCAGATGACTGCAAGGTAAGGGAATGGCATTTTTAGAATTGTTCAGTGTAACTAACTTAAAATTGATAATAATATAAAATTAAAACAATGAGAGTAAGACTTTAACTGCAAACTGCAGATACAGAAGGGTAGGAAGTTTTAATGTGCCTAATTTGTAATAACCTTACATTTTTCAGAATCCAGTATTTGCATATATCATATTTTGTCAACTTTTGTCATATCCATTGGTCATGCATGAGTTTTTCTATGCAAAACAGGTATTAATACATAATTTTTTATTCCCCATATAAAATAATTACATCACACCTGGATAGATACATAGAGTATAGAGATAAATAATTTTTTGTCATTTATTTCACCATTTTTACTTCATGGAAGACAGGCTATAGAGGCAAGTCAGTTTTATTTCATTTTTGTCAGTCCCTATATCTATACCAAATATGGGCATAATGCAGTTACTGGCTCTATCAATCAGTATTTGAATCATTGCCCAATTTAACCATTAAAACTAAATAATGAATGTTATGAAAAACCAATAATATAAAAATATTCCATTACAGAGCAGCTAACAGCAAACATTAGTCCACTGACCAAATCCAGCCCACCATTCTTCTTTGTAAATAAATGTTATTGTAACACAGCCACACTCATTTCTTTGCTTATTAACTATGGCTGTCTCACACTACAAAGGCAGGGTTGAGTAAATCTGACCCAGAGACTGTCTGGCACACAAAACCTAAAACACGTACTATCTAGGCCCTTTCAGAAGAGTTTGCTATCCCTTGTTATAGAGAATAGAGTTGCCCACTTTCCATACATATCATTAACGACTTTAAGTAGCTTAGTTTCCTGCTCTTGTGTGCAATGAAGCCTGTGGTTTAAGATCTCTTATCATTTCCAGGGAACTCTACTTCATCATAACATTTTATTTCCAGAAAAATAGTGCTTGGGTATTTGAAAAATCATAGGCAAATTGTCAGACACTGTTCATTCTCCCTAAGCAAAGAGATCGCTACCAACAAATTAACTTTTACAATTTTGTCCAGAAACTCAGTGACTCACTACTATCTCTGAGACACAGTCTAAAATTATTAGCTCTTTATTCAACACTTGGAAGAGACAGTCCCCAATCTACCTCTCCAGCTTGGCTTTCTCTGCTGATCCACCCTAAGCCATGGCCCAACTGATCTATACATCACCATGATAATAACGGGAGGAACAATTCCTAGAAGTAATTATTGGTTGCTTATTAAATGGCAGGTACCCTAGTATTACATACAATATTTTAATTAATTATATCAGCTTTGTGAAAAAGTTATTATTGTTTATAGGTAAGATAGTGAAGCCACAGACTGGTTAAGTAACTTGCTCAAGTTCATACAGCTAAGTTTGTGGAGGAGGAAGAAATCAACCCCAGGTGTATATAACTCCAAAGCCCATACCACACTATCCTGTGAGGTACTTTTAATTGAAACCTCAATTTAATCCTTATGACCCTTTTCATTTCCGTTTTATATGTGAGAAGAATGCTAGTACCTAGACTTCTATCAAAATCTGTCCCAGGCCAAAATCTGTACTTGTACCCCATGCCCCTCTTATTTTCAAAATCACCTTCTACTTTTCTGCCATTTTTGGTTTTTTTTATTCATGTCATTCCCTTTCTCTGAAATGCTTTTCTCTACCTCTCTAAAAAAGTGGAAGTTTGAGGCATAATTGAAGGCCCACCCTAAATTCTGAATCCTGAATTCACAAAGCTTTCTCTGACTACTCCAGTTGGAAATGAGTAATTTAACACTATTGTCTACATTAGTTATATTGCACTTACCATTTATAGTCTTAGAGCTGTTTATGTTTTTTCTCCCTCTGACTAGATTTATAAGTTGATAGAATTCAGAAGGCAAAATCACTTTATTCATCTTTATATTTCCCAAGTGCTGTAAGAAAATAGGGGATTATATCTTATTTAACTGTGCCAGAAGAACTTAGTATATACTTTCAATAAACATTGCTTGAAAGATTTGAGTTAATCTATAATAGTGTTTTATACACAGAACTCTAGTTCTTGTTATCACACCAAGCTATGACTTTAGTAATATATCTTCAGTGAACTTCAATTGCTGTAACTTAAATGGACTTTATAGCTTAAATAATCTCTAAAGTTCCTTCAGTTTCTAAACTTTATATCATGATAGTTCTGTGAATAAGTGAATAAACTGCCAAATAAAAAGCTTCACAAAACCATTCCATTGTGTTTCTCTGTTTTGTATTGTTGAATCTTAATAGTAGGATATTTTGTGATATAGTTTTATTCCATAATAGAATTTATCAGAAATAAAGAACATACAATAATTAGAGAAAGAGAGACGCCTAGAAAAGAAAGTATAAAACATTAACCACAGAATAGAAAAAAAGAAAACTAAAAGATGATTCAACATAATTATAATTTACTTCTGACTGAAGTGATTCTGATTATTTCCTGCCTAAAGTACAGAGGGGTTGAGGTAGTTTATTCCGTTTCATCCAAGAAAAATGACTATCCTGAAGAATCAGTCCCAAGTAAAGGAACACAGAACAGATGGGTATTACTCTCACTAGAGTGGTATACTACCTCTTATTTGTTGCCTTTTTGTGTTGCTTGGTGCTTTTCTAAAACAAGGTGCTTGTGGCTTTCATAGACTATATTTATATCTGTTCCAATGATACCCAGATAACAGAACTGGAAGTCTAGCCTTAGTCTCTGAAACTGAAAAATTAGAAGGCGCAATACCATTTAAAGAAAGTAATAAGCCCACATTTTCAGTTACTCGTAGTAATCATTACCATTTAATAAGCACTTACTCTGTGACGGACATTGTTCCAGGCACTTTCTAGTCATTCCCTCTGAACCTTAAAATAAATCTACATTGTCTGAAGTGCATTGTCTGCTGAAAATGACTGCTAATAAAGTAATTACATATAAAATAATGTTGTTCTTATTTTACAGATTCAAGATGGCAGCTGGCATAAAGCAAAATTCCTTTTTCATACCCAGGACCCAAATCAACTCCCAGTAATTGAAGTACAAAAACTTTCTCATCTCAAAACTGAAAGGAAGTACTACATTGAAAGCAGTTCTGTATGCTTTCTCTAAAGTCTAAGAATTAGTTCAGAATTCATGCTGTTGGCCAGGTAATTGCTGCAGAGAGAAAAATATAAATGGAAAGACACTATTTGTGAAATGCATGATATAAAGCATTGGCTAGATCTTAAAGAATCTCAGGAAGAAAAGACTTCCTCTTAAGAAGGGGAAAGGGATTTTTTAAAAGACTATAATTGATAAAGTATTTAATTCTTTTAAAATTTATATTGATCTGAGCTTTCTTAGAGAATTCCCTAGAACTGAAAATTTATAAACATGGAATTCTTCAGGTATCCTATATATTTTGACTGTCTGAGAGCAAAATACCTATTAGACAGCTGGAGACGCAGAGCACTATGGAGCAATACTGGCTAATGCTCCCAAATGTGCAATGCTTCTGTCTAAAAATCACACCACAGTCTAATATGTGTTATTTTCCTAAATACTAAGTTGTATTCAGGTCCCCAAAGGGCATATACATCTTAGCCGGTGGTATACTACCTCTTATTTGTTGCCTTTTTGTGTTGCTTGGTGCTTTTCTAAAACAAGGTGCTTGTGGCTTTCATAGACTATTTTATTTCTTTTTTCGTCTTTGTCATTCTGTAAGACTGTATGTACTGGTTACATCAAGATGTTTGGTGGCTACTTATTTTAATTTGTTTGATCACATACTTAATAACAAGTAAAATATTATTTATATGAAATCCTTGTTCTATTTTAAAATTCTCTTTGTGAATATGGAATCAATACCAGTGCATTGTAACCTGTACTTATGCATAAGAGAATTGATAGGTTTCTTTTGTTTTTGTTTTATTTTTTAAGTTGTTGTAAAGAATATTACAGGCCAGCTACATTCAGTAGTAGGTTTGGATTAGAGTTTGGGAATTCTGATACACTATTTTTAAAAATCCATGATCATCTGGAATGATACTTTGTATATATATATTTTGTAAAGTTTTAATTCAGCAAATCTTTTGAAATTGCTGTTGTTTTAAATTATAAAAACTTTATATTTCTGCTTCATAGAAATCACATGTTTTTGTATTAATTGTTGATTTTCTTTTGCTGTTCTTAAATTTAAATAAGTTGGGACCTAAAAGAATGAACTTTTTCAGTCTTTAAAGCAACATGCAGAAGAAAACTAGTCTTCTGCCATTGAAAATAGGCTCAGCCAGTTCAGACTTTCCTTGTCAGAAAAATGTTAGTCCAGTATTAAAAGCATAATATTATACATTTTGGTACATAGAAAAGCTTATACATTCTTTATAAACATACCTTTAGCCACAGCAAACCACACTCAACTATAATAAAATTATGCTTAAATATTTTTTGGTGGACTTTGTTTTTCTTCTTTTTTTACCATATTGTTTTATTATGTATGATAGCCCCTCTGGCATAGCCCTTCTGTACTATAAATGCTTACATTATTAGAACATATGTTACATACCTATGAACGGATTTCATACCTGTGAAATAAGGCCTATTTCCTATTTGTACAAAATGAGGTCATGGCACAGAAATAAACTCTTTCATATATGGTCAGTTGATTTCTAATAAGGGTGATAAGAGCTTTCAATGGGAAAGGGCAGTTTGTTTCAACAAATGGTGCTGAGAAAATTGGACATCCACATGCAAAAGAGTGAAGTTGGACCCTTACGTTACATTACATACAAAAATTAACTCAAGATGGATCAAAGTCCTAAATTTCAGAGCTAAAACTATAAAACTCTTAGGAGAAAACATAGGGGAAAGGCATCATGACATTGGGTTTGGCCATGATTATTTGGAAATGACACCAAAGGCACAGTCAACAAAACAAAAAGATAAATTGGACTACATCAAAATTAAAAACTTCTGTGCATTAAAGAACACTACCAATAGAGTGGAGAAACATCCCACAGAATGGAGTATTTGCAAATCATATATCTGATCAGGGATTATATATATATATAATAATATAAAGAACTCCTACAATTAAAAAAAGAAAAAAAAAGCAACCCAATTGGAAAATGGTCAAACAACAGATGTTTCTCCAAAAAAAGATACACAAATACCCAAGAAAGGAAAACATCACTAGTCATTAGGGAAATGAAAATCAAAACTACAGTTAGTTACCACTTTGCACCTATTAGGATGGCTGGTATCAAAAAAAAAAAGAAAAGAAAAGGAAAGAAAGTGGTGGTGAGGATCTGCAGATACTGGAACCCTTTTTCATTGCCAGTAAGAATGTAAAATGGTGCTGCCACTATGGAAAACAGGTTGGCAATTTCTCAAATGTTAAACATGGAATTACCATATGGTCCAGCAATTCTACTTCATCTACATACTCAAAAGAACTGAAAGAAGGGTTTCAAAGAGAGCTTTTTGCTTTTAAGGGTTTTTTTTGTCCTTAGTTTTTAATAGTTTTCTTACAATGTACTCAGGGTAGTTTTCTGTGTAATTAGTTGCTTGGGATTCAAAGTACTTCTTGAATCTATGACTTGATATCTCTTGTAAACCTTAGAAAATTTTTGGGCAGAGTTTCTTCAACCTTTACTATTGCCCATTCCACTGTCCTCTCCTTTTGAAACTTCACTTACACATATTCTAGACATACTCACAGTGTCACATCTATCAATCTGCTTCTGTATTTCCCGTCTTTTTCTTTTTATGCTTCAGTTTGTGTATCTTTTTCATTTATATTTTAGTTACCTGTGCTGTGTGTTCGTCAAACCCATTTTTGAGTTCTTAATTTTAGAAATTGTACTTTTCAATTCTAATGTGTTCATTTCATTTTTTATAGATTCCAGTTCTTTGGGGAAATTTTCCACCCTGCCATTTATCACTTATTAAGCATATTAATAATCATTATTGACTGAAAGTCAATATCTGAGTATTGCAATATCTGTATGTCCTAACATTCTTTTTCTATCATGTATTTTGTCTTTTAGTTTCCAGCATTTGGTCTTGTCTCCTAGCACATAAAACAATTTTTATTAAATGTCATACATTCTGTGTGAAAATTTTCAGAAGCTCTAAATTATAATAGCTCCCTCCTGAGAGAATTTAATTTCCTTTTGGCAGGTAATTTAATCCAGTCAATGACTGAGATGGTTCAAGACTGGGTTTTAGGCCTTCTGTGAGCTGGTCTATCCCTAGTTTTCCATTACTCCAAGGGGGAGTCTTTGAGGTGTCCTTAGAAAACCTTTGGTACAGAGATATCCTACTTTGTCAGTCCTGAGCCCCAAGTTTCATCTCACTCTCCTCCCCACCCCATCAGTCCTGAAAACTGCCAAAAGTTCTAGGATAATTCTTTTTTAGCACAGCAATTTCCTCAGGGGGAAAAAAGTAACTGGAGAAGGTCCAGTTTACTTTAATGTATTTCATTCCCTTATTTCTTGTCTAGCCCTAGCTGCTTTGGATGAGCATGGATGCTGTCAAACATCTATTTTATATCTTATCCAGATTTTATAGTTGTTCTTAGCAGCAGTTTTGGTCTGATACGAGCAATTCCATCAAAGCAGAAGTTTCCTCATCTATTAAGAGGAAAAAAAAAATCCTGCCCTTTATTCTATTTCTTAGTAGCTGCTGAGAGATTACAGTATTAAGCTATAATTTATCACAATTTGTTTACAGGTACTACTAAATTATTTCAAGTGAAATATGGGAAACTTGCAATAGTATACTTCCACTTAATCCCCTCATCTTTTGTGTTTTTGTTGCCATATGTAGAGAACCTATATATATTATAAATCCAGTAATAAAGGGTAATAATTTTTCCTTTAAATATACTATTTTTTTAACTAGGGGAATCAAATTAAATATATATAAATATTTTTCTGTAGATCCATGTTACCATTTGGTGTTATTCCCCTTCATCTGAAGAATTTCCTTTACCATTTCTTACAGTGTAGGTTGGCTGGTGATTAATTCATTTTTGTCTTGAATTTCACAAAAATTTCAAGAAAGTATTTTTGAAAGATATTTTTTCTAGATAGAGAATTCTTGGTGCAGTTTTTTTCCCAGCAGTTTGTATATGTTGATCTAATGTCTCGGGCCTTTATTGTTTGTGATGAGAAGTTAACCATCATTCATGTTGTTATTCTCCATGTATAATATGTCATCTTTCTCTTGTTTCTTTCAAGATTTCTCTTTATCTCTTCAGCTTTGAACAATTTATCTGTGACATGCTACGTATTTACTTTATATTTATTCTACTTGGAATTTATTGTTGCAGGTCTAAAAGGCTTCATATAATCACAGTGCAACATTTTTCACCTATAATTTCTTGTATTATATTAGTTCTTATACATTAAAAGCATGAATATCACAACCAAAACACTTATGCACACAGGGCCAAGTAACCGTAAGTCAAACATAAAATATTTAAATTCACAGATTATACTGTAAAAATATTTTCCTGTTGGTGAAATGTTAGCACATTAAGCTAAAGCCTAAAAACTACAAGTTAATAAAAGTTCTATCAAGTTCACTTAAAATATGCTTTCTGTAAAGAAAGAGTAAAAAAGCTAATAAAGGAGTTACCATGAACTAATAAATTTAAGCTTTAAATAAATATAAATTTAATAAATTTAAGCTTTACAGCCCTGAAGTAGCCTTCAAAATATCTTTACAGGGACACTTGTTTGTAAAGTTTGCAAAAGTACAGTAATTTTTAGTTTTTCTTCCTAGACAGGACCCTAAACTGTATGAGCCTCAAGCTTCACAAAAGCTAGTCCATCTGTGCTTTTAACCTGGAATGAAACATAACTGTAGTTCATTCTGTAGGAAGTGAAAAAGGTTGTTTTTGTTTGTTTGTTTGATGACTGCAATAAACAAAGGGAGGATGCTCTAGTGGCACAGAAATGACCTGAGCAGTAGGTATGGTGTTTGGCAGCAGGCTCTTTAGCAGTCCTCATTTTCTGACCAAAATATATGAGTTTGGTTCTCCCACATAAGACTAGCATTTTTTATAATTTCAGAAATGTAAGTTAATCCTTCAACGTATGGTGCTTCATCCTATTAAAGCATAACTTTTCACCATGACCTACATAGCAATTGCTATGCTAAGTATGATGAAGATTTCCCAGCAGATCTCTCTATTTTGATTAAGTACGTCTAGGGAGAGGCCCAGAAATCTGTTTCTGATGAAATACACCGGGTAATGCTATAATGCAACAGTGCATGGACAATCACTAGGGAGTTAGTGCATTGGCTCAAAGTTGTGAATGTGATAAAACCTGTATGAATATAATGAAGCCTGTTGTGTCCTGGGAAAATCTAAGCAATGGCATGGAAAGACCAGTAGGAAGGATATTTGGGACACCCTTCAAATCATTTCAGAAATTTATTCCCATCATTATTTTCCAGAACTTCAATCTAGCAAATCAGTTCCTGAAAAGATAGCAAATAACAATCCTATTGCCTCCTGGAGTCCTCGAGTATAACCTGAAGACATCATGTAAGTGAGAAAGTGGTGATGGATCTTGGAGCCTGACTCAGAAAATCTGAGAACCCCCTAGGAAAAAACTGCCACTCCACAATACCACCTCAACCTCTGAGACCGTTAAAATACAGCCCACAATGTTGATCAACTTAGGCAAAAGACTAGCTGTGATGCTATCAAGGATCCTTACTGTTTTAACACCTTTTGTTCAGTGACTCAAAAAAACCCACACAGATTACAAGAACGTATGTGGGGAAATGAAAGTTCCAAAATCTTATAAAGTCTTTATGCTTCTGGTGAATGATCTTTAGTTCTGGAACTTTCTCTGTGATCTTAAATGAATATTCAGATTGCTTTATTCTTTTGAGAATCAGCCCTCCCTCATGTTGCTCCCATCTTCCAAATCTTGTCTTTAGCAAAGCCACGTGGATTTCTTTCTGTCATTTAGCCTCTTTTTCTAGTGTAAATGTGTAATCTAGCCTGAAAATACAGTCAAGCTCTCTGACTCCACGAGCAGCTGGCACCTGTAAGTACCTGCAAAAGAGACTGTCCATATAATTCCTGTGGAAGCTTCTTCCTCACAACTTACAAGATTTTATTAAACTCTCTCAGCTTACTTCAATGCTGCTTCCAATACTGCGTAATCAGTGATGCCCTAAGGTTTCAAATTTACCTCTTTCTCACTCTTCCCACTCAATCAAAATTGCCATTCCCAGGCTAACTTGTGAATGAGGGTAAGAGCTGAATACCCTGTAAACTATAGCAGGACTTGAGGTAGCACAAAGCAACCTATAGCTAAAGAAGCCATTTCTTTGAAGTATCCTTATGCAGAGAGAAAAATACATATCTCACAGAAATGAAGTGAAGATTAGGTGAAAGTAAGAAATGTGAATGTATGTCTCACAGAAATGATGTGAAGATTAGGTGAAAATTAATGCCCAGTATGTAATAATAATAATTTTTTTAAGTAATTGAAACAGATGTGAGAAGGGGGAATTTTTTTTTTTGTATTTTTGTGTGTTTATTTTAGATCTTCTAGTCCTGATGGATTTAACTTGTGTTTCCATCTTTAAATATATTTTTATGTATTTAATTTATATATTTACACACACACACACACACACACATATTATATACACTCTCTTAAAATTCTGTAGGATGCTAGGGACAGAGAAATGGCTGATGAGGGCTATTACTGACAAAGTATTGAAAGAATAAAAGTTAATGCCCTCTTTTCTACCTGAGACCTATAAAGATTCCCAGGAATAACAGTCACTACATGAGTTTACTTCAGGCACTGCTAGCTTGTTCCATTTAATTTTCACAATAACACTAAGATTTGTAATACCATCGTCTCTAGGGTGTAGGTGAAGAAACTGAAGCCGGGACATAGTATTAGATGTATCCGTCATTTTCACACAAGATTAGGTTTAATCGTTAATCCAAATCAGGGTGGGTCGTCCAAATCCAAGAGTAAACATTTTGCTTCTCTCCCCCCCAAGTCTCTTCCTCTCTATTAATTGAGTGTGGCCACGGGCCGAGGCTTCCCCCAGGGCGGGCGTTCGGCGAAGCTCCGCCCAAGACACCAGCTCACAGTGGGCGTGGTCCCACGGAGGTTCAGACCTCCGCAGAGCCGTAAAGAGCTCTATGAGTCGTGAGGTGGCGAGATGCGGAAGCGTTGCTTTACGACAAATTGGTCGGAACGCTTTGGCCCGGCGTGTGCAGATTGTGACTTCCCAGCTCACACGTGGGTCGCTGTTGGTGTTCTGGTGTGTAATTTGTTCCTGTTGGCGTGGACCAGCTACATTGAAGGACAGAGTGGTCCCGGGGACCAAGGGTCGTGAGCTGATGGATTTTGCTGAAAATGCACAGACATTGGGAGTAGGTCTCCAGAGTGGAGCTGAGGGGGCGCGGCTGAGTGTTAAGCCCGGTAGGGAAGGAGTCAGGGGCAAAGCAGGGACTAGGGAGGCCGGCGGTGGGGAAGCGGGGAATGGATTGACAGGGATGGAGAATACAGGGGTTAGAAGAGAAGGAAGCGGACAAAGGGCAGAGGGAATGCGAGTGGACCCCACGGTTGTGAAGCAAGAAGTTATGGATTGGTCGGAAATGGAAGAAGGTATGCTGGGCGGCCAGAGGGTAAAGCAGGAGGTGGAAGATGAGCCTGAGGTGAAGGAGGAGAAACCGGGAACGTTGGAGGTGAAGGAGGAAATGAATAGTAGTTTGGTTGTAAAAGAAGAGAAGGTGAATGAACTAGAGGTAAAAGAAAAAGTGAAGGTGAAGGAAGAGGTAATGGACTGGCTAGAAGTGAACGAAGAGAAAAAAGATAACTTGGAAATAAAACAGGAGGAGACGTTTGGTGGTCAAAACATAAAAGAGGAGGAAATGATGGATGAAGTGTGTATAAAAGAAGAGAAGTATTTCCCGAAGAAAGAAGTGATGAATGATACAAAAGTGAAAGAAGAACCTCAGATAAATCCTCCTGTGTTCTTGAAGCGGAAACTGGCCATGTCAAGGTAGGGCAGGGAGAAATCCACTGGGAAAATAAAACTGAGAAGTTATCTGTTGTCTAGATTGAAGGGAACTACACTACCAGCAGAGTGTGGAATACAGAATAAATGCAAGCCTGGATCCCTGGAGCCTGAGTGGTGGTGGGTGGGGGTGGAATTGGAAAGGGAGGGTTTTGTCAGATGACAACAAATTAAGTGAAAATAATGTGTGCTTGGTAGTGTCCAGTGGGAAGGGACCAAGTTAGGATGTGAAAATTTTAAGACCAAAAAACCCTTGGATCAGATTCTGGCTTGATATAATATGTTCTTGACTCAGTATTTCTTTGAGAGGCTAGAGATGAGGAAAGGTCTAACAAAACCAACAACAGCAAAATGGATTGTGTTAAAATTAAATCCACCCAATTGTCTAGTTTCTCTACAGGTACTATGAAAATTTGTTGCTTTTGATATAACTTCCTTGTGTGTTATCATGTGACCGCATAGGAAATAAGGAGTGGTCAGATTCTTGGGACTAGTACTGTCTAGAACACTGAGACAAATAGAATTAGCTGTAGTTGGATTGTTAGAATCCCAAGATTCTAGAAGAGCATTGAGGACAGATAATGCAAAAGCATTTCTAGATTATTTTGGTGCCCATTCTAGGTTGAGTGTGGAGTTGGGGGAAAAAAGACACAAGTGCTACTCCTTAAATGACTGAGTGTTAAATTCTTTTTCTGATGTGCGTGCTTTTAAGGTGTCTAAACATAGCTCGTAGACTGGAATTCTGGGTATACGCAGGTAAGCACGCATAAATGTACACACGTACACACACACACGCAGTCATTAACAGATTGCAAGGAATTACAAATTGAAGTATCAGTGGTTAATCTCATTCTCTATAGTGGAAAAAGAATTAAAAAGTGAGATAATCTTTTAGAGTGTATTACATTTTCTTGAATTATGTATCATTAACAGCATTGTAAATGCAGTGTCATTTGGACACGGTTTCCTAGAGAATTTTTTTAACAATGTCTGACAGCTGTCAGGTATTTTATCAGTTACTTGTATATACTTTATTCACTGTGCTAACATCTGTAAATTTTGACAATTGACTCAGCATTAAAATTTTATAAATAAGTGGTTAGTATTTGGTAATTTATTAAGTTTCATGTGGGTTTTTGTAGGTGTGGGACTTGTGGTACAAAAGAAGCAAAGTACAGATGTCCACGTTGTATGCGATATTCATGCAGGTATATATGTAATTTCCTACTTTATTACCTCTGTCTGTACTCTCCTTACCTCACAGTATAAAAGCACCCTCTCTTTGTCTCTTCAGTTTGCCCTGTGTAAAGAAACACAAAGCAGAGCTGACATGTAATGGAGTTCGAGATAAAACTGCATATATTTCAATACCACAGTTTACTGAAATGAATCTCCTGAGTGGTAAGCCATCTTAGGCGTAGCAGATTGATGCTTCCTGGCTACTGGCATATGTCATTTGTTTAGTTTCTGTTTTGAAATTTTTAGATTATCGATTTTTGGAAGATGTGGCAAGAAAAGCAGACCATATTTCTAGAGATGTTTTCTTGAAAAGACCAATAAGCAATAAACATGTAAGTATTTCTTCTAATCTCTTCCAGTTAGAATTCCTTGTAATCAATTAGATTCGTTTTTTCACTCATATGTATTAAGTGGCTACCATGATGTGGGACTTCTCAGTTGCTAGGGATAAGCATTGACCAAAGCAAAGCCCTTCCTTCACCCTTGTGGAGCTTGTATTGTAGTGGGAGAGACAGGAGAGAAGTAGAGCTATGTGCATGTGGAAAATAAAGAAGGCACAGGGAAGTAAAGAAAATAAAAATGGTGTTGGGAGTAAGTGGGGCGGTACTATCTTTAATACAGTGGTCAGGAGAAGCTTCTCTGAGATGACATTTAAGCAGCGATCTCAATAGTGAGAAGGAAGCAAATTATGTGAACATTTGGAAGAAGACTATTCCAGGTAGTAACAAAACCAAAGACTGAGTCAGGAATGAGGTTGGTGTGTTTGAGGAATTAAAAGAGGAGCAGGGTAACTGAAGCATAGTTGAGAGAGGAGGAGAATGTTGAATATGAAATCAGAGAAACTGGTGAGGGCTTCTAATGTACTCTAAGTGGAAATAGAAGCTATGGAAGATTTTGAGCACATTTGCTTTTTGAAAGATCATCTTGCTGCTGTTGGGCAAGTTAGCGGGGGAGGGTAAAATATTGGAAGCCGAGAGACCAGTTATAAGGCTATTGCTGTTGTTCAAATGAGTGATGATGGTGGTTTGGATAATGCTGTTAGAAATATTGACAAGTAATAGGAGTCTGGTTCTGAAAGAAGAGCTAACAGGACTTGTTTTAATGTACCTAATTTTCATACTCATTCATCCCTTTTTCATTAAGCACTATGCAGAAGTAAAACTGTTAAGAATTCATCACAATTTTTTTTTCTGTCTTTCCATCCTTATTCTTTTATAATCTCTTTTTTCTTGCCTTATTGAAATAGCTAGGACTTCCAGTTTAATCTCAAAGACTATTGATAATAGTAGATATTTGTGTTGATGATTTACTAGAAAGATTCATAGAACTCAACGTACTGTTGTTCTCGTGGCTAAAACTTGATACAGTGAGAGGATACAGAGCAAAAATAATAAAAGGGAAAAGCATACAGGGCAAAGTCTTGAGGAATCCAGACATGAGCCTCTAAGGGCCCTCTCCCATTGGCATGGTTAATTCCTCAGTTTGATAACACATGTAATGTATTATCTACTAGGGAAGCTCATTAGTAATTCAGTTCCCAAGGCTTTTATTGGGGGCTGGTGAAGCACCCTCTAAACTAGCATATACCAGATTTCCCAGAAGTAAAGCAGATAGAATCACTTTGTTTATGTAAACGATTTAGGCACAGTGAACCATTCTTAACATTTTAAGAAAAAAGGTGTGGGACTTGTGGTACAAAAGAAGCAAAGTACAGATGTCCACGTTGTATGCGATATTCATGCAGGTATATATGTAATTTCCTACTTTATTACCTCTGTCTGTACTCTCCTTACCTCACAGTATAAAAGCACCCTCTCTTTGTCTCTTCAGTTTGCCCTGTGTAAAGAAACACAAAGCAGAGCTGACATGTAATGGAGTTCGAGATAAAACTGCATATATTTCAATACCACAGTTTACTGAAATGAATCTCCTGAGTGGTAAGCCATCTTAGGCGTAGCAGATTGATGCTTCCTGGCTACTGGCATATGTCATTTGTTTAGTTTCTGTTTTGAAATTTTTAGATTATCGATTTTTGGAAGATGTGGCAAGAAAAGCAGACCATATTTCTAGAGATGTTTTCTTGAAAAGACCAATAAGCAATAAACATGTAAGTATTTCTTCTAATCTCTTCCAGTTAGAATTCCTTGTAATCAATTAGATTCGTTTTTTCACTCATATGTATTAAGTGGCTACCATGATGTGGGACTTCTCAGTTGCTAGGGATAAGCATTGACCAAAGCAAAGCCCTTCCTTCACCCTTGTGGAGCTTGTATTGTAGTGGGAGAGACAGGAGAGAAGTAGAGCTATGTGCATGTGGAAAATAAAGAAGGCACAGGGAAGTAAAGAAAATAAAAATGGTGTTGGGAGTAAGTGGGGCGGTACTATCTTTAATACAGTGGTCAGGAGAAGCTTCTCTGAGATGACATTTAAGCAGCGATCTCAATAGTGAGAAGGAAGCAAATTATGTGAACATTTGGAAGAAGACTATTCCAGGTAGTAACAAAACCAAAGACTGAGTCAGGAATGAGGTTGATGTGTTTGAGGAATTAAAAGAGGAGCAGGGTAACTGAAGCATAGTTGAGAGAGGAGGAGAATGTTGAATATGAAATCAGAGAAACTGGTGAGGGCTTCTAATGTACTCTAAGTGGAAATAGAAGCTATGGAAGATTTTGAGCACATTTGCTTTTTGAAAGATCATCTTGCTGCTGTTGGGCAAGTTAGCGGGGGAGGGTAAAATATTGGAAGCCGAGAGACCAGTTATAAGGCTATTGCTGTTGTTCAAATGAGTGATGATGGTGGTTTGGATAATGCTGTTAGAAATATTGACAAGTAATAGGAGTCTGGTTCTGAAAGAAGAGCTAACAGGACTTGTTTTAATGTACCTAATTTTCATACTCATTCATCCCTTTTTCATTAAGCACTATGCAGAAGTAAAACTGTTAAGAATTCATCACAATTTTTTTTCTGTCTTTCCATCCTTATTCTTTTATAATCTCTTTTTTCTTGCCTTATTGAAATAGCTAGGACTTCCAGTTTAATCTCAAAGACTATTGATAATAGTAGATATTTGTGTTGATGATTTACTAGAAAGATTCATAGAACTCAACGTACTGTTGTTCTCGTGGCTAAAACTTGATACAGTGAGAGGATACAGAGCAAAAATAATAAAAGGGAAAAGCATACAGGGCAAAGTCTTGAGGAATCCAGACATGAGCCTCTAAGGGCCCTCTCCCATTGGCATGGTTAATTCCTCAGTTTGATAACACATGTAATGTATTATCTACTAGGGAAGCTCATTAGTAATTCAGTTCCCAAGGCTTTTATTGGGGGCTGGTGAAGCACCCTCTAAACTAGCATATACCAGATTTCCCAGAAGTAAAGCAGATAGAATCACTTTGTTTATGTAAACGATTTAGGCACAGTGAACCATTCTTAACATTTTAAGAAAAGTTTTATGTCAGTGTAGGAAACCATTTACCGGTCAGTCTAATTCCTAGCTGCAGACCAGCCTTGTAAGCAGGACCTTCTAAGGATAACAGTCTTGAGCCTGCTGTATTAATGTTTCTGTACACCTTGGTTTTGTAACTTCTGATCACAAAGGGAAAACTTCCAAGCTTTCACAAAGATGTTTGCTCTTAAAGTTTTATTGATAAAATTTGACATCTAGATTAAGAAAGTTATATTGCTATTTACTAACAGATTTCATCACAAATGGTAGATACATTTTACCAAATGATATTTCTGTATTCAATTACTTCATTTTTGTTCTTTTAAACTATAATACTTTAATAGTAATAATATAATCTCTTAACTGATAGTATTTTAATAATCTAGTAATAATATAATAATACTATCTTTTGGTTTACTAAACTTGTGTGCTATATTATTCTCATAGCATATCATGTTTTTTATACTTCACAGAATTCTGTTCTGTATTGTGTGAAAAATTCATTCATTTGTATTTCTGTTGAGTGGGATTGACATCTGATTTTCCTTTTTGCTATTCTCAGATTTCCATATCAATATGATTCTAGTTTCATAAAATTATTTGGGAATACTCCTATTTTGTTCTTAGATACCTTGACTAAATGTTGGAACTATTTCTTCCTTGGGAGTTAGGTAATTTATTACTGAACCAATATGGGCTTAGAATTTGGGCCACTGAGGTGTATTATTTACTATTTATGGTGCTGTTCGGGTTTCTTGTGTCTTGAATCATTGTTAGACAATTATGTCTTCTAAGAATTTGTCCATTCGACCTAAATTTTCAAGTTTATTAGCATGAAGTTCTCCATAACATTTTCCTTTACATGTCTGTAGGAGCTCAACAGTCATTTCATTTGTGATACTGATTATTTGCATCTTCTTGTTGCTATTGTATTTCTTTTTTTATCTTCTTAATGTGTCCTCTTAACTTTTGTTATATCCTTTTTTATGTTTAGTTTAATTGTATTGTGGTCAGAGAACATTCTCTGCCCTGACTTAATTCCTTTAAAATACATTAAGACTGTGTTTATGCCTAGCATGTGGTCAAGTTTTATAATGTTCTCAGTTTGCTTGGAAAAAAAGTATTTTACAGTTGCTGAATATAGATTCTGTGTATCTTTTTTAGATCAGGTTTGTTAATTATGTTGTTTGAATTGTTTATGACATTGCTGGGTTCTTTTTTTTATTTTATTTTGTCTGTTTCTTCCTATCAGTCACAGAGAGAGAGGTATGTTAACATTTCCCAATAGAGATAGTCAATAGGATTTGTATGTTTCTCTGTGGTTCAAGTAGTTTTGCTTTATATACTTTAAGGCTAAATTATTAGATACATAACTCAGGGAATATTTCTTCTTGGCGACTTAACCTTTGGCATTACAAGGTAACCCTCTCTAGCTTATATCTTTTTGTGTACCTTGTCTAATACTAATAAAACTGTATCATTCCTTTGCTTAGTATTTGCATGGTGTATTTTTTCCTTTTATTTAAGGCCTTTCTGTATTCTTACGTTCTGTATGTCATTTCAAAGCACCACATAGTTGATTTCTGGTTTTTCCCCAGTCTGATAATCTATAACCTTTAAGTGAATCGCTAAGCTAGTTTACATTTTAATAAAATTACCTGTATGTTTGACTTTTAATGTATCACCTTATATGTACTATTTGTCCCATTTGTTTTGTTTTTTTCTTCAGTCTTTTAAAGTAATCTTTTTTCATTGTTTGAATTTTTTCTATCAGTTTAGAAGTTATATACCCTTTTTCTATCCTTTGTTGTTAAACTAGACATTACAACATGCATACTTAATTTACTGGTATCTAAAGTTAATCAATACCTTAGCTCTGTACATTGATAATGCAAGGACCTTAGAACCAGAGTTGGCAAACTTTTTCTTTGAAGGGTCAGATAGTAAATATTTTTTCAAATCATATGGTTTCTATCACATCTATCCAACTTTGCTGTTATAGCAAGTAAGCAGCCATAAACAGTACATAAACAAACGGGTTAGGGCTATATTCCAACAAAATTTATTTATAAATATAGGCAGCAGGCAGGATTTGACCCCAGTTTGCCAGCAGTTAATTTAGAAGAGTAAATTCCATTTAACCTTCTACTGACTTTTCTTACTGTTTCCAGGTATTTAAATTTACTTTTTATAAAAATTTCCAGACAAGAATTACTATTTTATCCAGTTAATGTTTATTTTGATTTTTCTTCATATTTTCTACTTCCTTGCCCTTTATTCCTTCTATCATAATAGACCTTTCATATGAGAGATCAGTGTCTTTCTGCCTAAGTACATCTTTTCAAATATCCTTTAGAGGGTTTGCTGTTTGCCAATTCTTAGATTACTCTATCAATATTTGTTCAAATTTTTATTTATTTCATCCTCACTCATAAATGACTTTTCTCTGTAGAATTATTTTTCCATTATCAGTTGGCTTCCATTGTTGTTACTGTAAAGTCATCTGTCTTTTATAAACTGCCTTTGGAATCTTTTTTCTTGCATTCTTTTTATCTTTGGTGTGCATTTTTGCTATAATGTAATGCAAATTTCTTATGCATCTTGGAAATTGTTAGACTTCTTCAGTCTGTGGAGTATCTTTCCTCAGTTCTGAGAAATTATCAGTATACTTACATTAAAATACTGCCTCTGCCTTACTCCTTCTCTTCTCTTCCAAAAATACCATTAAATGTGACTTACTCTTTTCTCTACATCTTACTTATCATTTAGCCTCTGACTTTTTCATTCTATTTCTGTAATGCATTCTGAACATTTTCTGGTTCTATTTGGTTCTTTTAAAAATACGCTAAGTCACTTTTTGTAGTTTTTCTCCACTGCAGATATTTTCAGGATTTCTTTTATTACTTTAAATTTTTCAGAGCTGTTTTATAATCTGTGTGTAATCTCTTCATGTCTGAACATATGGAGAACTGTCTTATCTAACTCTTTTGCTCTTTTTGGTTTCTGCTCACTGAACCTTGTTTTCTTATTTATCCTTATTTTTTATTGAGTACTGTTTTTTTAACTAAAATTATTTGTAAGAATTTTTTGAAGACTGGGACAAATAGACTTTATCTTTTGTTCTACTAGGTACCCAGGAACATTGCAAAGTAGGCCTATCTTAAACCATGTTAAAGGCTTAAGATTCCCTTGAACACACAAGCAAGGCATATCATTTCAAATCTGAGCAAGGGCTTGCCCATGACTACAACTTCTAATGGGTTTTCCCCCCTGGTTCCATTTAGACCAATACAAATTTCGCATGCTCTGGGATAGAGTTTATTTCCAATTCATCCTTATCCAGAGGGTATGTTTTTTATGACTTGGCTTCGTTTGAGGAGAGTTCCCAGAAGATTGCTGGGTCTTGATGAGTCTCTTGCTAGGGAGGCTGTTGAAATAGGAAGCCTTAGCCAAAATCTGTACAAGTGGCTTCATTGCTTTACTTACCTCTCTGGGTTTTCACTTTCATTGTATCAGCCTGTATTTAACTGTTTCTCTGTTTCTGTCAGGTCTTCAATGCTTTTAAGGTGACTGTAAAATATATTTTATTACATATATGTATTGCCTCCATTATCTGGTATTCTTACGTGTTTTCACTGGGTGTGGTGGTCCTTAAAAACCACTGCCATTACTGAAACCAAAGTCTCATAAGTTATAAAATTGCATGTAATTTCTTAAATCATTTTCCTACTTAGCTAATGGTTTATTGCTTAATTGTCTAACTTTTTGTATTGCAAATTCTAGATCTCCATTCACTTAAGCAAAACTTGCATTTATACTTCATTTCTTTGAGTGATCTTCCTTCTGTGATGGTATTACTTCCTTCACTGCTCTCTGGAGTTGACTAGCTCAGCTCAACCAACCCAAGTGGTTGGAGTCACATGTCAGCGGCAGAATGTTGTCATATCCCATTTTGTACAGCCTCCAACAGTGGCCACTTTAAGTTCGGCCTTGTACTAGGCAGTACCACAGTTTCTTCCCTGAGTGAGCTACCTGTTTAGGCATAAAAGCAGCATATATACAGCTAACTAGGGTATAAAAATAACAGTAAAAGAGGAAGAACTATATAGGTAGCCCCTTTGGTTGCCAAATGACCTGCATTTTTTTAAATCCCCATAAAATCCTTCCTTTGGCTTATAGAGCATATGGTTAAAAGCACAGGCTCTGGAATTAGACAAACTTGAGTTTGAATAAGGCTCTACCTCTCAGAAATAGCTGTAAAATGTTAGCATCTCATTAATTTTTATTGCTCAAATTGGGGTAACTATCTCATAGTATTGTAAGGATTAAATGAAATATTGCTGCCTACACAGTTTGTGAAGCATAAATACTCAAATCTTAATCATCATATTTTGAACATTGTTTCATTAATTTTTGAAATTTAAAGCATTTTAAAACTTGTCTGTTTTTGGTTGTTAGATGTACTTTATGAAAAATCGTGCCCGAAAGCAAGGTATTAGCTTAAAACTTCTACCCAACGGATTCACTAAGAGAAAAGAAAATTCAACATTTTTCGATAAGAGGTAAGTTTTGAGCATTTTTTGTAGTATATCAGGTATTCCAATTTAATCACGAACATCTTTTAATGTTTGGTTTGTTAATGGAATATTGCCACCCAGATTGTGGTCTTTGAGCTGTTACTGGTCCATGACAATATAATTGCACAAATTGAAAATAAGCATTTAGAAACTTACACTAATTTTGTGTTACACGACTCATAAAAATATGTGCTTGCAGAGTTTATGCGTGCGTGTGTGTGTGTGTGTGTGTGTGTGTGTGTGTGTGTGTCTCTAAGACCTAAGATACCGTGGAAATATTTCAGAGGTTTAAGGGGCAAAGTGAAGAGTCAAAGCAAGACCTCTGCACAGTTTTAACTGGAGCAGCTCAATTTTTATAATCTTTTCTGTTTTGGAGTTCCAAATAAGAATTCATTTGAAATCTAATGATGGGGAAGAAGGGGATTTGGGACATTTACTCTGTAGTGAATCTGTGAACAGATGATAAAACAGATATTAGTTTGCTGCCTTCTTAAAGTGTAACTGTGAGGCCTTGAGTGAATTACTTCCTTTTCCTGGGCCTCATTTGTATGATATGGGGGTTATGCTATAAGAAGATGGTGTTATCTATTTATTTTATATTTTTTAAGACATAAATATTTGTAAAGGTGGTTTTCCTTTTTCCTCATTTGGCTTCTAGAAGTAAAGCAATGCTGTTTATTAATTAAATATGGGATGATTCCTTTGTGCATTTGCAAACTGGCATATTTTAAAATTGACAAAATTTGTTTGAAATCTAAGGTAATTGTTTTGCCTTCTCAAATATAAAGTGTATTCCTCTTTCAGAATGATTGTGATCAGAACTTAGTCCTCAGTACTTAAAAAGCATACAGCCTCAAATGTAAAATTTGGGGGTATGTAATTTTTTATAAGAATATTACATTCAGTATTTCTGAATATATGTAATTTTGCTTTTAGGACCCAGATTTATACTTTGTTTTTTTGGAACAACTCAGATCTCAAAATGGCAAACTGAACTTTCCTTGCATTATGCCTTTTTTACTCATGAATGTACAATGATTTGGGGTTTTCTTATATTTTTAGTGTTTTCTTAAGAGGACATTAGCAACATACTACACAAAAGGCATTAGAGTCAATTTCTTAGCTGCTTTCACATCTATAAAATGAAGCTAATGTTTTTATATTAGTGTATTATTTTATGCTACGATATTATTAGTGTTTAATTAGTATGTTAATTTAGTTATATGACCTTTAGTATATTAATCTACCTGGCTACTTGAGTATAGGAAAGAATCAGTATATACAGTCATTTCTAAGAATGAAACATTCTCATCATAAAAAAGTTTAAAGGAAAAACAGCACCCGTAATTCCACTAGTGATGAGCACTAGTAACTTTTCACATTTCCTTCTAATCATGTGTCTCTTTTTTCAATTAATAAAGTAAAACAAAATAATTAAATATTCATATAGATAAAAAGTTACATGGCTTTCTTCAAGTTAAACATTACCTTTTATGAATAGACACACACTCTTTTTCTGCATCTAGCTTTTTTCCATTTAACAATATATTGTGGACTTCTTTCCTTATACTACAAATCTTCCTCTATTTTGAAGTATATATTCCAACTACACTGCTATATCCTAGTATTTAAATCCCATATTTGTGAACATTTAGCCTATTTCTAGGTTTTATTCATTAGAAATAATGCTGTAATAAACATCCTTAAACAAATTGTTTTGTGTTCTTACATGTGACTATCTGTAGGATCTATTCCTGGAAAGCAGAATTACTGGGTCAGAGACTACAGACATATACATTTTTGAGAGAAACCCCAAATTGTCCTCCCAAAAATAGTACCACTTTGTACCTTCCTCAAAAAAGTATGTGAGGGCCTTAGTTATACCTGCACTTTAATTGAAAATTAGTAACCCTTTTTGCATAATTAATTATTAGGGATGTTGAGCTCTTGAATTTTTCTTTCTATAAATGTGTGCTTGTTTATGTCCCATCTTGGTCAGTTACATAAATTGTGGATATTTTCACCAGTCCGTTCATCCTTTAATTTTTTTCTTCCAGTCATTTCTGATGTATTTTAAATAGTGGTAAAAAAAAAATTCTGTGTGAATAGAGATAGTAAAAGGGAGTGGTTAAGAGCACAAATTGGAGCCAGTCTGCCTGGGTTCAAATTCTGATCTTCCTCTTCCTAACTATGTGATCTTAAATTAAACTCTCTAACTTCATTTTGCCTTAGTTTCCTCCTCTAAAGTAGAACTAGTAATGAAGAACTAGGATTAAAACTAGTTTTCATTTCCATTTGTAGTATATGAGAATACCTGTTTAAACATCTCACTAACACTGAGTTCTCTTTTTTTTAATGAAAAAGGATTATAATGACAATTTGTTGTAATTTGTTTGTATTTAATTGCTACTGCAATATCTGCCTGTGTATTTCACAGTGATATCTTGAAATTCAAATGTAAAGTTTGACTTAATCCAGTTCATTGTGATAAGATGATCTTTCATTCATAGAACCATCTGGGGAGTCCAGTGAACAAATTTAGTCTGTGTAACTGAAATTTTCCATTTGTTCATTGTTAAATTGCCTGTTGTTATTTTTAGTGGAAAATGGTTTTGCTACTACCTGAATTTAAAATGTCTGTATTCAGATGTTAGGTGAATACAGTAAAGCTTTAAGGTGAGTTTCCAGCCAGTTGAGAGCCATACTTAAAGAATATATTGCTGGTTAATTGATTCATAGCTTGAAAATCTCTTTAGCATATCGTAATACTTAGTTCATTTTTGTTCAGTGCTTTCAACAGTGATTTAGATCATAATTTCTCTCATCTTGACACTGTTAACATTTTAAGCACACCCCCCCATGTGACAGCAAAAACCATCTCCAGACATCGCCAGATATTCCCTGGAGTAGGGACAGGAGCAGAAGCAAAATCACCTTTATTTGAGAACCACTGCATTTTAGATGAGTACTGAAGACCTACTTACCGAATTTCATGCATGGCAGAAAATTTTGATTGCTAAATGGTAATGTATAAGTAACACTAAATATATAAGGTCCTGTACTTTTAGGAGAAATAAATGAAAAAAAAACATTTAGATGTACCTTCTTTGAAATATCTGTTTTCTCAGCCTTTCATATGAAAATGAACAAGGGTATAGTATTATTTGGTAAAGTGAGAGGAGAAGGAGATATCAAGACTTCTCAATTCTTTTCACCTCCCATGCCCTCAGTATTCTGTTTTTAAGAGATTCATTTTCCATGCTTCTTTTCAACTTTCAAAAGTGTTTTAAGGTTTTCACTCAGACAAACTGGAAATTGAATATTGCCACTGCCATTTGGTACAAATTAAGTGGTGTTGGGCAAGATCCAACTGGGTTATCAAGAGGATTAAATGAAGTAACACCTAAAGTAGTACGTGGCACTTAGTAAATAATATACAATGACCATTAAAGGTATACATTTTCTTACCTGAAATCCTTGGGGATATGGTACATTTACTATGTTATATTCATCTTTAGTAGGTCTGGGACAACACTGCATAATCAAACAACACTGTTTATGCAGTGATACCTACAAATGTTCACATTAAAATGGGTAATGACCATAAACAGGCTCAGATTTTGCTGCCAAGGGAGTTAGGAAGAAACTTTTAAGTTTCAGAGATCTGGGGGTTTTGGAATTGTTGATACAAGATTTTGGTCCTGAACTAAGATTATTATTATTCCCTAGGTATTAAATTGGTCCTTTGCTTGTTTGTTTAAGCAGCTCAAGTTACAGTATAGTCAAAAGTTCACATTTAATTTGTTTAAAATTAATATTTTGCAGTGGCAACATTTGAACAATCCAAGTGAAGAATTCTTTGTAGTGTTTTTGTAACTTTTCTGTGAAGTCTGAAGTTATTTCAAAATAAGTTTAAAAATGTATATGAGTAGCCCTATGTGAAGTGTGAAATGCTCCACTGTGCCTGAATTACCTTTCTAGAACTACCAGCAGGTTATATAGCAGCAGATATAATAGATACCTCAGAAGCATAGGTTCAATCTAACCCAGGCAATCCTTTGTGGCAGGAGTTTTTGACCAATATGACTCTGAATCTCCTAAAATTATAAGGCAAAATTGTGTGATGTATTAATTTTTCTAAGAATTGGAACTGTAATTTTTATCTTACAGTCTAAATGGGGAATAATATCAGTCTGTGAGCTCAAAAATGTGTTTAATAGCAATGAATTTTAGAGGACTGGTGAATTTGTAGGAACTGTCATAATGGATAATTTTAATGAACAAAGAAAAGTTGTTTTCTATAAGAAGTGATTATATATTAAGAATATTGGCATTCTGTGTTAAAAATAGAGTAACTTAATAAGGAAATGTGTACAATCCAAGGTTGCCATATTTTTGTTGGAGCAGATCCCAAACTCCTTTAAAATAGTGACTCTTTCAGAGTTAACTGCCTTACCTTATCTCTTCATAGGGCACGTAACATATATTCACTTGTACCTAGTATAATCAAAAACTGTTGAAAGAAATGTCAAAGATCTATATGAAGAAAAGTTAAATTCTACTGAAAAATTTGAACAAATGGAAAAAAATTCCTTGTTCTTAGGAGACTCAGTATTACCAAAATAACATTTATTCCTTAAATGAATTATCTTTAAATATGACATGATCCTAATACAAATACTAGTAGACATTTGTTGTTTTTGATTTGGGTTTTTGTTTCTTTTGAGAAGAAGGAAAGGGGTCATGAAATTACTTAGGTTCATTGAAGAATAAGCATGGGAATGCCACAGGAAAAAACCTGAAAATGAGGAGTAATGAGTCATTAAAACTTATGAAATTCTAGTTAATTTTTAGGATGTTGACATAGAAATCTACAGTTAACTTTTAGAAAGTAGACATAAAGCTCTAAATTGTGACCAAAATAGCATTTCAGATGAATACAGATACTTATTCAGTAAATGGGGCTGAGATAGTTCCCTTGCCCT